TATCTTCTTTCTTCTTCTGGATCTGCAGAATAAAACAACAACGTGCACTACCTATATATTTACCAACACCTATCAAGACTATAGCAGTCCATTACTTAAGTCTATGAGCTAGTTTTCTTGAAAAGCATCTAATAGGTCTTCTTGCAAAAATAATCTTCTTTATTAATCGCGCAGACGCTGGCACTACTAAAATCAAAAAAACATCTAACAAATCATTACTTTATATGTTTGTGGGCTTAGCCTTTATAGGTCGCTCATCCCACCTCTGCTTTTATATGGCGCAGAAACTTGAGTACAATCAAAGAATGATGATGCTGTGAGTATTTGTAAGAAAACAGAACTAAGGTTCTTCATAAAGTTCTTTTCGAATCGAGTGAACTGCGAAATTGTACTTTAACTTTTAAGGATTAATTACTAAATAGCTGCATTGCAATATAAATCTTATTACAATCTCCAGTTTATAACTACAGAAAATAACATAATTATTAAACAATTAAAATCCCTAAACAACATTACCAATATTAGTATTGATTAATCAGTTGAAGTTTAACCACGTCATCCATTAATCTACAGTATCCTGCTTTCGACATGTTAACAAATTCTTTGCGTTTTTTGTGTTCAAAACTTTTTAAAATGCATTTATTTTAAATTACAGATGCACAATTATTAAGCACGTTTGAGTGTCTTATAAAGAGAATGTACTTTTTTTTTTAACAAATTATTTAAAATTTTACAAATTCTTGTCGCTTTTACAACTGAAATTTCCATTTCTAGTATATGAAATGTGTTAGGAAATGTAGTCAAAGGATTAGACGTTCCTTTGAAAACGTATCCAATTTTAAGTATATATAAAATACAATATATTTCAAAGTATAAAAACAAAAACAAATGGAAACAGAATATATTGTGGTATTAATTTTTTTTTTTTAACTCATTTCCAACAAATTCTATATTAACAGATTTCAGTCAGCATCCTTTGACATGCGTGGAGTCGTATTGAATTTCAGAAAAGTACGATTTCTATTTAAACTCAAATGAACACACGCATTTGCCTTCACTTTGAAGATTTAAATATTTCCTAAAACAAAATAAAAAAAAATCATTTGATAATAAACAGTAGATATCCTTATTCGTATATTAGTAAAAACACAAGAAATGCAACACGGGTCGCATCCTGTTCCTTGGTGTCAGGTTAACGATTTTATTCGTGTACTGTGTGGTGTCATTGGCACACGTATAGTCCGCTTCTTCTCATCTTATCTCAAATTGCATACATTTGCGCAGCTGTTACTTTTCCTGCCAGTAATTCCTGTCGGAAAGTTGTTGGTTGGGTATCTTAAGTGGTTAATTGGAAAAAATCGCTTACCCCAAGCCATTCTACTTTTGATGATGAACTGCATAAAGAGTTGCGTAACTATTGATTATGAACATGAAAAGATTTTTTTCTATTTTCATTTCTTTAATTATAAATTAAAGGAAGAAATACAAATGCTGCCATTAAATGTCTATTGAAACCTTTTATGCTGTTATCTATTCATGGTACACCTTGCCTCTACTTTTCAACGATTATTAAAAGGATTCTAAATAAATAGAAAAAAATTCGTGTTATTTATTTATATGATGAGTACATAGTAATATACAAAATAACAAAGAAATTTTATAAAACAAACACAAAAAAATATTACTTTATAATATGTATTAGTATTGTTGTTAGGGGATGTGGCACTGCGATTGTCGGATCTATTGTGCGCCCATAATATGTATTAGGACAAATATATTTTATTTACAAACTCTATTAACTACTTTCCTTTCTACCGATAGAATTAATTGTGATATTTACTGACGTATAAAGTCATATATAAATTGTTATAAATTGTAATATTAATTTGTTTTAATAACAAAATTGCTTAGCTCTAACAATTAAAAAACTTTGTGGAACCGATATATTTACAGGGTTAGAGGAAGCGTGCAAAATCGAAGGCTGGACGCAGTGAAGTGGACTTAAGCGTAAGTAAAATTGGTGCAATACGAAATAAAAGCTATCAACCAGTTAGAGAAAAATCTGAATAAAGTATTGGACCACACCGGATTTTAACCACGGTTGCCACTTATGGTACTTTAGTACCAAAATTGGTACTTTTTTTTTTTTTCGTTTGGTACTCATTTTCAAAAACTGGTACATTTTTGACGACCCAATTTTATTGTGGATATTTCCAAATAATTTTTTTTATAAATGCAACTTTGCACTATTTTATATTTTGTTCATTTATAACACTATAAAAAACACAGAACGAGAAAACAAAAAGGTCCAAAAAAATTTTGGACCTTTTTTTACAGAAATGGTACCTTTTTAAACCAATTTTGGTACAGAAAAAAATTTTCAAGTGGCAACCGTGATTTTTTTAACATTAAAGAGTGATAAAGATCTTATTTATTATTATTCTTACTAAAGATTTTCAATAAATTTAATTACTAACAACAACTCATTAATAAAAAACTGCACTAATAATAAATTTTTCTTGTACCAAAAATTTTACGCAATACTGGTTCTGAAAAGAACATCTAATAGAAATAATATATTAAAATTAAATCATTAGCTTCTAGTTCGATATGCAATACATATAGTATTATGCAATTAAACTAAAGAAGAATTATAATAATGAAGTGATGTATAATTAAACTAAAGAAGAATTATAAGAAGATAAATTATCTCAATAAAAGCCAAAAATTTACTTCATTTATAATATCAATAAAAATATCTAATTTTTTTATATATATTATTATTTACTTAAGTTAATTTCATTTAACGCCTCCTTTAAAGATAGTCTATCACTTTAGAGTTACAAAATATAACATCATTTAATATGAAATCGGTTTTGTTTTTTTTTTAAGAATATTAACTTTTATTTTGAGCGTTAATTTTTAGCATATTCCTATACGTATTTCGGCAAATTCGCTTTTGCCTTCATCAGGAGAATTACTAATATTAAACCACAACTAAAAAATAAAAACAAAATTACATCATTTAATAAATTAATTATAAATAAATAATGTATAAAATAATGAAAATTTGTCATGATAAAATTCCAAGTTTATCTTGAGTAAAGTTTGTATTTTTGTGATACTACCAACCCGTAGTATCACAATATATCATTATTTGTATTGTATACGTGGCTGCTACTCCAACTTAACTGAAACTAATCATATATTGTAAACAAAAAATTTTTGTTTCTGTGATCACCGTTGTTTATCCAATCTTTAGTTCAATCTTTGAAACAAAATGTCGAAACGTGTCTAGTCTGCTTTGGATATTAGTTTAAATATTGAATTTGTATACATCGAGGACTTGACTTACAAAGATTTTCTTTGTAACTTTCCCACTTAACTGTATTGTGTTATCAACCGATTTATGGCTTAATGGTGAGAACTGATTTAGAACCATAATTCTAAACTGATTCTAACCGATTAGAACCAGCACTGCTGCAAATATTCACTAAACCTCAAAATCCTAACCGCCATACTAAGTAATTAGTTATATCCAAAGTAATCCAAAGTAATTAGTTATATATCATAGAGTTTTAGTAACTCACAACCTTCACCAGCTATAATATAATGTTATATTTTGTTTATGCGTTAGAATAATTTAACTTGTTTAATATAATATCAGTATAATATTACGGATAATAACTACCCGTGATTACTGAAATGCGATTTCAGTTATTGGATTTTTACGGTCACCTAGCTACTAGGTTTTAAACAAAAACTTAAAAAAATTTATTTTTTATATCCTTTTTATTCATCAATAACACTATTAAAAATATAAATTCAATTAATGTGTTGTTACACTTATTTTCTTATTAAAAATATGTGGAAAACACTATACCTATATTGTTTCATATTACATAATTGTATATATATAATATATTTAATTTTACTAATAAAAAAATTAATTTAGAGACTTTTAGTTCCTTTAATTGCACTGTTGTTATAATAAAGATAGATTTTTAAAGATGGTTTACTAGTTCCGAAAGAAAATATAGGGTGGTTCAATTGATTCCATTAACATTAAAAGATTAAAAGATTGGAGATACTTGGTCTAATGAGACAAAAACGTTTTGTAGCTCTATTGAATTGGCTTGTATAGGTTTCACAATATTTATTTGAGTTATATCATGATTTGTTGATGTATCATCACTTATTGACATCTGACTAATGTTCGCCTCTAGTATAGGAAGGGAATCAATATCCAAACGACTTAAACGTTTTGGAAAAATTTTTTTCGCAGCTGTAACTTTTCTTTTTAATGCCAAACACAATGCTATTCTTTTATGTTTTGGATTAATATGTAGTGTATGGTTGGATGGAGAAAATTTGACTTCCTCAGAAAATATATGTTTAGCAAGGATTTCTGGTGTGATTACTTTTTGTTCCACTATTTCTTGTGGTTTAATAAGAGATATTCTTTTAGTAAAACGAGTTTTATTTTGCGTTATGCCAAGACAACGAAAATTAGACTTCAAATATTTTAATTTTTCGAGATTTTGATTTGAAAATAACTTTAATTCCTTCAGTACTCTACCAATTGGATCTAAGCGGGGTGCGAAAGGCATTATCTTCCGTAGTATATCGTAGTGTATAACACGCTGCATTTCCAATTCTAATTCAACTGTCTTTAATAAGAATTTATTGTTCCTTATAAGTTCATAAGATTTAATAAGTGAACGACCATTATATTTATCAAAACCGGGCAGTGAGAGTTTATTTTTCAAATGTGAATTCTTCGATAATGTCATATTAGTTTTAATATGTTCTAACATGGCGTATAAATTAACCATTTCATGTCGTAAATGATGTATATCTCTTTGAAAATCCTTAGTGCCGGCTTGATCAAATGTTTTTTCTAATTCCAACAGAGTTAAAGTATTATTTCTGTACTCTTCAGGGTGTCCAAGCACTACAGTATTATTTCGTTGTTTTACAAGCAATGTCTGCAATGTTCTATCGAAATCTAATATATCCAAATAAAAGACATGTCCGCTCATTAGTTCATAATCTTGAAAAAGTTTAGTTTTATCATCAGTCCTTTGACGTAAATGTTCATTAGTAACAGTTGGTGAAGTGGCAAATAACGCTTTTCGATTATTAACGCTAGTATCTGGAGAAGTTATTACTAAATTTTTATTTTGAATTGAACTTGGTCCTGATAACGATTCCACGTTTGAAAATAATTGATTGTTTCTGTTATTAAAAGTAACCAGTTCTGGTATAGGACTTGCCTTTGAACTTGTCTCGGTGTTATTAAAACTGAATGTTTCATAGAGTGACATTTGTGATGTGTTAGCAAATGATAATGAAAATTCAGTTGTTCCCGATTTTTCTGGTGAAAAATTTGTTCCTTTTTCTTCTTTAACAGATTGGTTACAATAATCTTCGACTTCAATAAGAGAGAACATTTCTGACATATCAGTATGTTGCACCGGTGGGGAGCACAATCTAACAGCATTTGGAAACAGATTTAGAAAATTGAACGATTGAAGTAGTCCATGTGTAGTTAAAACGTGAATCATAGGCATAGGATTTAATTCAGATTCATTAATCATTAATCTATGTGTACTAGCGGTATCAACGGAGAGTCCAATTGAGAATTGATCACTTTTGTCTTTATTTAATGGAAACGCAATACGCGCTTGATCGTCACAAATATATGGTATCCATTTGGGTATTTTATCATTATTTTCCGAACCCAAAATGCCAACTTCTAATCCATTTGCTGAGAGCACTAATAAAAAATTCCAACTTATCAAATGCGTTAGCATAAACCTATGCTTGCGGGGACCGTCACTGCTATAGCATACATCATAGTAATCTTTATAAGTAATATTATCTGCTTTAAATGCATTCACTATAACAATGTGTGGGCAACTATTTTCGCCCCGCTGCAGTAACACAACAGCAAATTGATATGTGGATAGCCAACAGATGCTTAAACAATCAAATGGGCCGTTCAGCACTTCTGCCGGTATATTTACTAAACGAGCTGGAGTCAAGTCAGGTGTATATTGTTGTAGCATGCCGTTTGCGCATGCTAACACAATTTGCTTTCCTTTTGGTGACCAAGAACCACATTGTATTTCTACAGATTTGTCCAAAGTTTTAGAGTTCAATTGACCGCTGTCAGTTAGTACACACATGCCAAGTACACCATTATCTAATATGACTGCCAAGTAATTACGAAGGACCGGATTCCATAACAACTCAGTAACGTTGATATTTTCTTCAGTTGATAAGCATGTGGCACAGAACGTAGTGACTTTCGGCATGAAGAACGACTGTGTGAAATAGATCTGTAGATATGGGCAGCCATTAATATTGTAACTAATGGCCAATAAAGAGCCATCAGCATTACAAGACAAATATGTAACAGGAGCTGGTAATTCCACTACACGCGTTCTCAATGCTAGGTTATCGTATTTGGCATCAATGATGTCTTTATGCTTGAAGATATTTAATTTAGGGGCATATGGATTTCCAGCAAAAATCAAACCAAAATTACTTGCGGTCGCCAAAAAATGCACGCCAACCGTAGGAGGTATTTCACAATGCGTTTCAAACGAATTAAATCCATTATGAAGTTTAAATTGTATATCAATTAAATCAGTTTCTTTTTCATTCATTATATACTTGTAATTGCTTTGAAAAACATTAAAAACTAATAAACATTTTTAATAAAATACAAACAATTTAAAATTTGCGCTTAAAAAGAATTGTTGAAAAGAAAAATGATAAAACATCAAGCCACAACCTTTTTTTTTCGTTGGCTTGACGTTTGTTTTTACGTTCAAACATAAAACACTTGAATGAACAAATGTCGAAGTTGGGTACATTGAAATCGTGGTTCGATTCAAACTCAAACAAGTTGAACAGAAAATGCATCAAAAACAAACGAAAATTTTTATTCTGGCACAGTTAGACAAGAACTGAGTGGCGGGTTGTGTTGTGCGCTCGGACGATTTTCATTTGAGTGTTGCTTGTTAATATACGAGGTAAATTATCTACAATATTTGTTGCTTACAAATACAGTGAGTCTTTTGCAACGTACTTACAAAATAACAACAAAATTTGGATTTACCTACTTATAAACTGGAATTACAATAACAACAGCTGCTGACTGAAATAAGCAAAAAAACAGAATAAACGAAACTGATTGCGCAGCGCTAAAATAAAACTTTCGAAATTTGTTCGTTTAATTTTTCAAAGCTAAAAGTAGTGCAAATTACAAAAATAAAATACTTTAAAATTATTTATATATAAGATAAATTTTTTTTGAGATTTTTCTTAATATAACATTAAACAGTGCATAACGGTCGTTCGTTGAAAGTTGTAAAATATTTTAAGAAAAAAAAAAAATTATACAAAATAGTAGTGTGTATGCAAATACAAAAAAAAGTAACGAAACAAAGTGAAATTAAATTTTATTTAGAAAATACTATTATATCAAAATTATAACAAAAATCAATAATAAATTAAAAGTTGCTTTTGACAAAAAGTAATAAAAAAAAGCAATCAAAATTACTGAAATTTACAATAAAGATATTTTCATTTATAAACCAACAGTACAGGAAGCACAAAACCATAAAAGTATAACAACAACAAAAACAATCAATTCAAAGTTGTATAAAAAGTTATCAACCCCCTGAACCGAACTACCAACCCGCAAAAATATACACATTTAGCTGTTTTGTTGTACGCGCAAATATTTGCCGGAAATTCATTCATACATTCATACGTTACTTGTGTACTGTGTACTCAAAAACAATTGTACAATACACAAGCTAACATATTTAAATGCAATTCTGCCAATATATATGTACATACATATATAGAAACTGTTGTTATTTCTTCTCCTACATTGATGACATGTGCCATTTTCGCAAATCATCAATGTATCAGAAAGTTTGATTGCGAGCGACTATAAGCGAAAGTGAATAATCGGTGTATCGCGAATTTGCTGTGCTGTGCTCACTATTATCAGCGACGTCATTAACCGGATTTTTAACACAAGTGCGTGGTGTCATTGACGTGATAACATATAAGTTCCTGTTGACAAACTAACACTGCTTGCTGCTGCTGTTGCTGCTGCCGCTGTGAAATCCACCAAAAAACAAAACAAAAGGTAAGTAATGAAAATATTTGATGTGTCACTTGTACATTAAAAAAAACAACAACAATAATAAATGTAATGACTATATTAAGAGAAAGTTTATTAAGCGTAAGGTGGTAGGTTAAATAATAAATTTAGAAAACTCATTTCTCTGTTTTTCGAAATGTTAAGATACAACAAATATATAAGTTACTGTATATAGTAAGTAACTTATTTGCATAAATAAATGATTTATAACTCTAGTCTTTATTAACCTTTCGTTTACAAAAAATAAAACAGAAGTAAATATTTCAATGTTTAAATTAATGAATTACCCAAGCAACAACAACAAATTTTTTATAACTAAACTAACTACACCTAAAACAGAAGTAAATATTTTAATGTTTAAATTAACGAATTATATACTCAAGTAACAACAAAATTTATATACCTAAATTGACATAAATTTTGTGCATTTAAATGTTAAATACACATTAATATATACATATGTTTGTATGTAGATGACAGGTTCAGTAAATTAGTCAATAAAAAATGACGGCAGCAAGAAAAAAAAATCAAGCTGCCATTTAACCTTCGATTTTAATGTGTATTATAAAGTTAAATATTTATTCCTCAATATTTATATAAAAAATGTTTTTTTTTAATATTTAGTTATAGATACAGACATATAGATATAATAGAACTGTGTCAGTTGGTCACTGAGTGTATGATTATGTAAGTTTCACAAATTACTTTCAAAGTTTTTTTTTCTAATATTTTAAAATATTATTCTAATATATTAAAATTGTTATTATAGAATAAAAAACCAGATTTAATTTGTAGCATTTAAATGGAATTTTAAGGTTAAAATAAAATGAAATAAAAATTTTTTTTAAGTGTAACCTTGCGAGTTATACTGTACCTCGTGTCATTCATTTTATCAGTGCGGATGTGAAGCTCATAAATGATTCTGCGTTTCGCTATTAAACAATGCATTTAAATAAAATCGAACAAAGGGCAACCAATTATTTATAATGCTATCATCATAGCATTTAAAGCGATAATTAATATTATTATAATATTTAATAAATATATATTTGTTTATATATTAATAAAATCGTAGCAAGTCGTGGCATTATTTCATAGACTTTTCTAACAGTTTTTTATTTTGTTTACTTTAATCTTTAACGATATAAATAATGTTAATTTTTATTAGTATAAAAAATACTTTATTAATGTATTTCTAATTTTTTGGAACAAAATTTCCATCTATCACGCACCATTTTTACGCTTTCTCAAGCATATAACACAATTTTGAGGTTATTTCATTTTCACCACATTGCATTCAAGAAATTTATCGAAAACCGTGTACTAGGTTATACTTAGTGTGATGACATTTTTATGTGACCAAAAGATCCATATAGTAGATTTGGACCCACTTTGGATTCAATACTTAATAGAAAAAATATAGCATATATGGATTAAATTTTTTTTATTAATATATATTTGGTTATATTTTTAGTTATATTTTTTTTTAAATATTTTTTAAACAATAAAAAATTCCCTGGAAAAAATACTCTACGGCCACCCTAATATTCAGTATATACGAATATAATTCGATTATATTCACATTTAATCAATGATTCAAATAAATATGTTTATATTCGAGTATATGCAACCAAATATATATTATCAATTATTTCTAAATAGAGATTAAGTTGCATAACCTGTATTCTATAAATATATTTGTAATCATTTTTTTCAATGCTATTCTACATGTTTTGAAGGTTTTTGCTAATAACATTTTACTATACCATAAATGTTGTTTTACACCAAGTCGTAAATCACTAAACCAAACCACATAAAACGTTTTGGTTATATATAAATATGAGTTTTATTATAATTGATCACAGCCAAAAATAATAATGTACAACTAGAATATATACAATATAAAGTACAAAAAAAAAAATTAATTAAAATTATAAATTTTTTTTATTATTATTATAGATAAGTTTAATTCCATAACATGTAACTTTCCTACAATTAACTAATTTTACAATGTAAACTAAATTAGGTCACACAACGTTTATTGTATTTAACAATTATATAAATGTTTACTATAATTACCAACAATTGTACAATAAATCATTAAATAAACAATGATAATAAAGTGGAACATTAAGCATTTTAAGTGATGTCAAATTTCGATTGATTGCTTACATCGTACGAACACTTGAGGGCAAGGCTTAAATGCTATCTACACATATGAAAATGTTGATAATATATACTGACGTAATCTACATATATACTCATAGATACAAAAATAAATTAACAATAGACTATTATAGAAATATAAATATCGATTTATTTTTAGGAAATAACTAGTGTAGTGTAATCGTAGTTGTTCTATTCTATTGTATATGAATTTGAATTATCATTAATAATAGTTGATAATTGTTCCAAAGCGTTTTTGTAGTTTAAATAAATTATTATGGACATTTACGGTACGTTATTAAATAAGTAGGTTACAAAAATCTATCTATAAAAATTTTTTATTTAATGCAACGTATTTAAACTCAATAAATAGTTATGTTGTTATGTAGTTCAAATAATATTTGGAGTGGAACTGGAACCTAGGCAAGCCATTTCTAACAAAATACTTTGCTGAAAGCAATAGCAAACAAATTTACTTATTAACTCTTCTTTAAAAGCAGTAAGCATTTTTCTTAATATTTTTTTTAAAATTTTTTTAATTTAATTTAATATTTTTAATTCAATTGCTTAAAAGCAATCGATCCAAGCATTCAATAACAGTCAGCAAGTGCTCTAGTCTTTGACGTGTATTGCAGCAATAATTTTCGTATATTATCGTTTGCTGCAGCATTAGTTCAGTTTTGTGATATTCTATATCAGATACATAACTTCTAGTTTGTCTACTGAGACCGCATTTATTATAAATAAGCACAAAAAATTTAAGGTAATTATACACATATTTTATAGCCTATATAATGCATCTATGAATTTATACAATTCATTATACATTATACCAAATATGCATAAAGCATATTAAAATAATCATACAGTTTATTATTCTTAAACTTGGTGGTCCCTACTAAAAACAAAAATATCATAGTAATCCTTTGTCAAAAAAGATTGGGAAGCACTGTTCTATATTGTAACTTATACTAACAGCACTCATATATTCTTGTTTTTTGCCACAATAGTTGGGTTCTGTGATATGATAAGCATTATTTAAAGCACTTATACAAGCAGTATTAACATTTGCTGGAAGAATTGAGAATTGTTTAATGTATCTTATGGCAGACGTTAAATGATGAATGGTTATGTTATACAAATAGTCATATCTCAATTGGCAATTTTGTACTTTAAATACTATTTTGGTATGTTTCTTTTGTATCTCAATTTAAAATATATTTGTTTTCTCCTAATATGCGAAAGATCTGGTATTTATAACTGATCAACATTGTTTTCACCAATATTAGAAGGCACAATAAGCCACGTCATTATCACCAAATTTGAATTGAACTTTCGGTCTTTCTTTTATGTGC